GCCTGCAAAGCGGCGATCTCGCTCGCTGACACAGCGTCTCTGCCTCATCTCCGATCGCTGCTCCATGCTCGGGTCCACTCAGGCGTCAGCGTCCCGATCGACGTTCTTGACGTTTCTGTTGCTGCTATCGCCGCCTCCACTGCCGCCGTCGCCGCAAGCGCCGTCACGACGTCGGATGGCGTTGGCTCGCAGTGGGTTCGATTCTCTGCGCCGGTGGTGAGCAGTCGACCAGGAGCGAGCCACGCGCCGCATGGATACTCGGGCCCGGATCCCGAGCAGGCGCTTGGCAGTGCTCCGCGCGCTTCAGCGTGTAGCTCGCGGTGGTCACCGGTGAAGCTTCAGCAGTCGAGCCGTGCCCCCTCCTGCCCTCGGGGCGGGCGAAAGGGGGGATTGGGAAAGGGGGGGTTACGAAATCTGCTGCATGCAGCTGGTTTCGGCCCCGCCGCCGGGCCCATTCCTCGATACATGGGCGCCTTCTGGCGCCGGGAGGCGCCGGGAAAATCAGCTACGTGAGCTGATTCTCAAACCCCCCCTTTGCTATCCCCCCCTTTCGCCCGACCCGATGCCCCCCGGGCCCCGCGTCGTGAACCAAGCCCGACGGAAGGTGCTGCACCCCACGTTCGGGCCCCCAGGTGGCCCTACCGGCCCAGGTGGAAGTGGTCTGGACCTCCGCGAGGCCACGCGCGAGAAAGGCAAGACGGGCGGCCCTCCCTCTGCTCTTTGATCATGGCCTCTCGGCTGCAGTGGAGACGAGCGCCTCGTGGTGATGTGCGCTCCTGCACCTCCTGGACCTCCCCCCCTCTCCTCCCGCTCCACCTGCTCCTCTCGGGGAAGCGTAAGTCTCGAGTGCGCTGGAACCGGGGTTTGCCGGCGCTTTTTCACGAGCGTGTCCTGGATTTTGACGGTCCAGTTTTCGTAGCTCAAGTTTCAGGCTGGGTCGCGACAGTTGCATACTTGCCTCGCCAGGCCAGCCCGAGCCCCCCGGAGCTCTCCGAAGGGGCCCCCGCGGAAGCATCGGGAGGCCTGCGAGAGGGGGGGGCGACGCCCCGGGCCCCAGCAGAGGCCAGGACGCGGCTCGCAGGCCGGGACTCTGCGGGACCCGGCGGGAGAGAGGGGGGGAGAGATCGGGGGGCGGCCAAGGGGGGGGGGGGGGAAAAGCGAGACAGGGGGGGGGGGAGATCCTGGCGGGGGCCACGACGTCTCCCAAGACCTCGTGGCGCCTCGTCTCATTTCCACGCGTCCCGGGCCTCCCCCCCTCCCCCGCGGCGGTGCCGCGCACGCGCCGCGGGCCGCGATTTGCGCTCCCCCCCTCTGGGACGTCCCCTTCTGGGACGCCCCCGAGGAGAGAGCGACGCGCCCTGCGGCTGCAGCCTGCCGGGGCGCGCCAGCGCCGTGGCCCCTCGTCGGACTCCCCGCTCCCATCCGCCGATCCCTCGGCATCGCTCGGGCGTGTGCAGTTCGTGGTGTGTTCCTCGGCGAGGGCCGTCGAGGAGCACCCTGGACCTCCCTGCTGAGCAGCGAGCGCGCGAAGTCGAAGCACCATCGTGGCTGATGGGCGTCCGAGCGAGGGCGAGCTCCCCGTCAAGCTCCCCACTCCACGGGGCCCCGAGAGGACCCCTCGATCGATCCCCCTCCCTCCCGCCCCCCCTGCGGTCGACGCTCGGTCGATCGCCCTCCATCCCCCGCCGCCGACCGGCCCTCGATGGAGAGGGACCGAAGAATCTCGGCATCCTCTCCTCCCCACCACCTCCCTTAAGGGACGGTCAGGGAAGTGACGGGGCGACGTTCTTTGGGGGGAGGGGGGCGGGCGGGATTTGTTCGTCCACTCTGCACTCCAGATCGTTTGTGTCTTGCCTCGCTGTCCGGTGTCGGGACAGCCCTCCTGGAGAGCAGCGGACTTCATCTTCTCCATTGCGGTCTTTCTTGTCTCCTTTGTTCGGAGTATCTTCGTTCTTCGATTGTCTGCCTTCTTCTCGCTGTCCAGTGCAGCTCCCCCCACCGCGCGTTGGCGAACAACAGGTCTGCGTCCACGGCCTCGCGGGCTGGGCCCCTGGGCCGCGACCCCGCGGATACGGGGCGTGTTTGTTCGCAGGTGCCCCGCGCGGAGCGTACCCATGCGACCGCGCATGCGCGGGGTCGCGCCCTGGAAACCAGGCCGCGAGGTCGTGTGTATAAATACATTCACCACTGATGAGCACCACTTGCCACCCCCCCACCGCCCCCCGCCCCCCCCCTCTTCCCGGCGGCGAGCCCTTCTCCGAAGGCGGCGGGACTTCTCAGAAGGCGGCGGGGCTTCTCAGCAGGCGGCGGGGCCGGGGCTTCTCAGAAGCCCCCGCTCCTTCTGAGAAGCTGTCTCCGAAGACCGAGACGGCGTCTCAGAAGGCCAACGGTTTTCTGTCAAGCCCCGCCGCCTTCTGAGGAAGCCTGCCGCCTCTCACCTCCCCCCCTGGGCCCGCCGCCGAGTGGAGAACGTCGGGCTCCACATCGAGCCGCATCGGCG